GTTTGAAATATGGCTGCAACAAGTGTTTGTGTTGCAAATAGGTTAAAGGAACACTTTAATGTTAGAAATTCAAGCATGGAGACTGGACCTGATCTGATCGCACTGGAATTTTGATTTTACGCCCCTTTTCCCCCATGTTAAGCCATTTAAAAATGGTTTGACTACTTACAAAAGAGGAGGGGTTGCCAAGGAACTGCTGTTACCTTTAGGTCTCACTCCTGTTATCATGTTTGGAATGTTCATTGAAGCTGGAATGGATTTTAAAGTTCATAATATTAATTTTAGCATTTGACTCAGAGTGCATCATGGGAGTTGTAGTCTCATGCACTGTGAATGCAAGCACTTATGTGTCTTAAGTTCATGTTATCTTATGGGAAAAAATATGGTGTGGACAAGATGATTGATTCAAATTTACACTTGAGAATTTAAAGTGGAGGAAGCAATGAATTACTGATGTTTCAGTAGCTTTCCCGCATCCCATTCTGGCAGGGGAATCTATCCAACAGGATAATTTTATTATGTTTTTATTATCACGTCAGCTTTTTGGATTATAGAACAAAATAACACAGGAAGGACATAAACTGACATGATCCCATTTCCACTCACTGGCAGAATGAATCCAGGATTTATGCCTAGCTACCAGCTAAGGTGAACATTTAAACCAGTCCAGCCACCCCCAGCCACCTCCTTAGTAACTACATGAATTAATAAATGGTCAATAAACAAATTGGATAACGAAAAAAGAAATAAGGGCTTACATCTTAGAGAGAACACTATCAGTGAATTGGTTAAAATAAATCAATAGCAACAACACTTACAAATAGTCGTGTAAAATATTTAGTTTATTGACACTATTCATACTAAGCAGTATTTGGGCTTGTCATGACTATGTAATGATGAAGGACATTTCTTCCTTGGTTTCTGGAAAAAAAATGCATTATATGGACAAATAGAAAACGCTAGAATTTATTGATTCAGGTGCTGCTCTGATTTTTATAGGGGGAACTGGGATTGAGTTAAATTTAATACCATCAATATGAATTATATTGATGGCAAGTCCATCAGCTCAGGTCTTGTAACCCAACATACATGGCATGACAATGTTTTTAATAACTGGACAACATGTAGGAAGAGTTATTGGAGTAGGTGCAGGTTTAAGTACATTGTATTGCCTTACAAATACATTTTAGATATATATGTGACACTTCTTGAACTTCTAGAAAAGGCTGATGTGTACACTCAATACCTGAAGTTAAATATCTAGAATTGTCTTGCTTTGATCTATTGTCCTTAATGCTTAGGAGTTTTTAGATGAAGAGTGCCCTCCACAAATATCTGTTTGGTCTTCAAACCTTCTTCTGAAGTTGCAGAGTGCAACCCTTGAGGACCAAATCTTTACCACTTTCCAGACTCCTACTGTCTTTAACCTTTCTGTGCTTTGCTTCTTCCAATCCCTGCCCTTCTTTGTAGAATCCATACTGGTCTTTTGTACCCATTTGAGTGTGTGATGGTGCACAGTCCCTTTCAACTGTAGTTTTCATCATAATGCGAATATAACTAATTGCAAACGATTTACTGTGTCACCATGAGACGACTTTAAGTTGTTTGTATAACCACAAACAACAGCACAGAAGCCTGCTACTGTAATTTCAAACTATAGTACAGGAGGCTTAAAGAACCTAACCACATATTAGTTTCTGAAAGCTTTTTGGTGTGACCATTACAACAATAAAATAATATGGAAATATTATGCAAAAAATTATATGGAAGCTCCAAAATATGACTGGAAACAACTGTAAAACAACCTATAAATCTTACCACAAATAACTGTATGAGATTTTAAAATGTATTAATAATTAGACTCTAAGCTTTGAGTAGGGCCATCCACCTCTTGTCCTATATGTATGTCAGACTGGCGTGTATGCCCCATTTACCCATTTGAATGTGGGAGAGGCCGAAATCGGTGACGTCTGACAATGTCTTTGCCTGCGCTCAGGATCTATTCCAGCTAGTGCTACCAGATGCAAACCACCAAGGCATTGAAAAGATTGAGCAGCTGCAATATTATTTCAATTTTATCAACAGCTACGCTGGCCAAGGGGAAGGAGACATCACCACCCTATGATGCCTCGGAAGAGAGAATGCACTCGAGCCATCCCGCAAGAGTACCATAAATGAGCAAACACGGTTATATATGGTACTGAATGAGTTAATCTAATTAATATGCTAGCCCTGGAATTAAAAGACACAAAACTAGTGAGATTTTTTAAGAAATAAAAAGCTCACCCCTTAGCTAACTTTCAGTTAGCTATTCTTTTTGTTGGGAAATCTCATATGACAGTTCCTCTTTGAGAGATTTGAATGTGAGAGAATATACATAATACAATAGTGGGCTTTAGAATTTAACCCCTTAGTGACCAGACCACTTTTCAATTTTCTTACCATTTGGGACCAAGGCTGTTTTTACATTTCTGCGCTGTTTGCGTTTAGCTATAATTTTCCTCTTACTCATTTACTGTACCCACACATATTATATACAGTTTTTCTCGCCATTAAACAGTCTTTCTAAAGATATGATTATTTTCATCATATTATATAATTTATTATAATAAAAATTATAAAATATGATGAAAAAATTTAAAACTCACACTTTTTTGAACTTTGAACCTCAAAATCTGTTACGCATCTACAACCGCCAAAAAACACCAATGCTAAATAGTTTCTAAATTTTGTCCTGAGTTTAGAAATACCCAATGTTAACATGGTCTTAGCTTTTTTTTGTGCAAGTTATAGGGCAATAAGTACAAGTAGTATCTTGCTATTTCCAAACCATTTATTTTTCAAAATTAACGCAAGTTACATTATAACACTATCTGTCAGGAATCGCTGAATAACCCTTCACATTTGTATATTTTTTAAAAGAAGACAACCTAAGGTATCAAACTTGGTGTATTTTGACTCTTTTCATGCAACCATTTTACCACCAATCAATGCCAAATTAAAAAAAATAATAATAATTGGTGATTTTCTTGACACACGTAGCAGTCTAAGAATACCTGTACTGAGAACTTTAAGGGTTACTGCCAAAGAACACCCCAATATGTATTCAGCAACATCTCCTGAATACAGTGATACCACCCATGTATAGGTGTTACAGTAATACCCCCCATGTATAGGTGTGTCGGGGTCTCTGGGGGCTAAAAGACCTTATTTGGAAGGTGCGCATTCCAGTTTTCCAACATGGAATTTTCACAGATGCTCACCATGCACCCATGTCCTACTTGGGACATTGTTGATGCTGGCCAATGTAATTTACCCCCATCAAACCATATATTTTTTTTAAAGTAGACAATCCACGATATTCAAAATGGGGTATGGCCACTCTTTTTTTAGTAGCCACTTCATCACAAACCCTGGCCAAAATTAGCGTTTAAATTTGTCTTATTGCATTTTGTACACATAAACTGCTCTTTCACCAATGATATTATCAGTATAATACATTTTACTGCTCTAAAACACTCATATTTGTGTAGAGTAATTTCTCACGAGTACAACCGTACCCCTCAAGTATAGGTTTTATGGTGATTTGGAAAGTTGCAGGGTCAAACATAAGATTTGCCAATTTCTTTTTGTAAATTACTATTTACCAGATTGGCTATGTTGCTTTGAGATGGTATGGCAGCCCAGAAATAAAAATAAACCCCACCATGACATACCATTTGAAAATGTAGACAGCTCAGGGTATTAAAAATGGGGTATGTCCAGTCTTTTGTAGTAGCCACTTAGTTACAAACACTGGCCAAAGTTAACATTTATATTTGTTTGTGTGTGAAAAATGCAAAAAACAAATATGAACGCTTACTTTAGCCAGTGTTTGTGATAAAAGGCTACTAGAAAAAAATGGATATACCCTATTTGCAATACCATACAGTGTCAAAGGCAACATAACCAGTTTGGCAAATTTCAATGAAAAAAATGAAAATTAAAAAAATAATGAAATTATATTTGACCCTGTAACTTTCAAAAACACTATAAAACCAGTACATGGTGGGTACTGTTGTCTACTTTTGGAAAAGGTATGCCATCATGGGGGTAATTCTTATTCCTGAGCTACTATACAGTCTGAAAGGCAACATAACCAATTTTGGACGGAGCTGCAGCAGGGGGACTGCTGGGATCTCGGGCAGTAACGTTCTGTAAGAGAGCTGGAGAATATAACTGTAAGGAAAATATAACTGTATAATAAAATGAAAGCTTTGGAATTCGATGTTAATATGCCATAAGAGTGTTTCAGAATATAAGCATAACATACTATAAGTCGTATGGACAAGTAATACACCTGTATAGACACCCACCATATAACGTGCCTTGCTTTTCTGGCCTCTTGTTTGATTTGCCTGTAAAATTCATAAACAAAGCTATAATTTCCCTGCAGCTGAAATCAAATTTCTCAACCCCATATTGCATGGGGATTAGAAATAAGCCCAAGCCAGGATACAGACATTTCTACTAATATTGGAATGAGACAACGCTTGGCTCCTAATTCCAGTTTGCAGATGTAAGATTGTTGCAGTCAGCAGAGTGCAAACTCTACAGCAAAACTGAGGTGCTGGGTGTTAAAATTGTTATATCCTCGAATTCCCCACTGTGAATAAGGACCTTAAGTGGCTTAGCCATCTGCCACTTCAACAGCTTGACTCTCCTAATGAATGTCTAATATTGTCCTGGAACCTTCGAGCTATATTTTCCCATCATTATGACAGAGAGATGTTTTACTAAATAAAGTGCTTACTTGTAAAAATGAAACTGTTAGCTTTTTTTCTTCCCTTGGGGTGTGTATCTTGTTAATTTAATTAGATATTCGCATATCCCCAAGCGAGGAGACTGAAAGAAATATTTATAAAAGGTCTTTGATGCTGCGCTGGAGGATCTGTGGTTGAATAAGATTTTAATCCCATATACATGTAAAATTTTATTTTCCCTTAAAATGTATAGCTGGAAAATTTTCCATGAGTGCATTTGTCAAAACAAATGGTTATTTTATTGAGTCATCAAAAAATAACTTGGCAATCTTTCGACCCTTTATGGGTCTTTGTTCAACAAAAGTTGCCAGGTCTTTTTTCGATGACTTAATAAAGCAAACATTTCTTTTCACAAATGCATTCTTGGTAGATTTTTACATCATTGTTAGGACGTAGAGGTAGAGGAGACGATACATTGATATCTTTATTGGTGAGCTTCCCTGCAACTTTATACTTACAGCAATCTACGATGACATCATATATTAAAGTATGAGGTCATCATGATTAGATCTGTAAATGAAAGTATGAAGCCATCATGATTTGATCTGTGTAGGCATTGCATTGGGTAGAAATCCTTAAGCCCATCATTACCGACAGATGAGTTTTTGGTTTCCTACCAGAATGGGAATTAATCGAGATCAATGAACACATTTTAGGGACTAAACTATTTTAGGGACTTTTGTTTCTATTCTTTGACTTTATACACCAGCTTTAAGTCTGTTTCTGGTTACAGAACTATAATAGGGTTTGGAGGAGGAGGGTAATCTCTGATTTAAACCAGATAATGACAAAGAATAGAAAAAAATACAGATTCAAATTTAGGTTTTCTTTTTAATATGCATGTTTTTTACATTTTTAAATGTTTATATATTCTGTGCACCAGTAAAATAGATATTTAGATTTGCAATTATATTATTTGCTTAAAATAAATGTAAATTAGAGTTTCTTGAGCTGTGCGTTGTGTTTGCCTTATTTTTTTTGTTGAAACTAGTATTTTTGCCTTAAGCCCTTAAGGGACTCGTTGCTCACAATATCCATGAATTTTGCCTAAAACTTGTATAGCTCAGGGAGTATCATCACCAGTGTAGAGTTTAAGATAGAAACATAGAATGTGACGGCAGATAAGAACCATTCGGCCCATCTAGTCTTCCAAATTTTCTAAATACTTTCATTATTTCCTCACCTTATCTTATATCTAGGATAGCCTAATGCCTATCCCACGCATGCTTAAACTCCTTTACTGTGTTAACCTCTACCTCTTCAGCTGGAAGGCTGTTCCATGCATCCACTGCCCTCTCAGTAGAGTAAGTGTTTGCACAGAGCTCATTCTAATGTTATCCATGATGTGAATGATGGTTTCTACCAAGTACATATGTCAAAAAACGTTTTGTTTTAAGTTAAGTTATGAACCTTTATCTAACTCTCTAACTATAGTTACATTTTGAAGTTCTCTTAAATAGTGCACAGTTTGATTGTAAACCTCTATAAAGTATGTATATTATGTTACATGTATGTCATTTCCAACATTCCAAACTACTTTAGGATGTTGTAACAGGAGTGTATTTGTGCTGACACTCCATACAAATATACCCCTATATTCACCTTCCACATAAATGGCACACCTGCATTCACATACATCAGCACTACCTTGTATTTCACACTGATTCCAAGCTTAAATACAAATATTCTTTTATTCACATGCCTTCACATATACATAAGAATACATACACTGACATCAAAGTAAAGTGTAACATTTGCATGTATATTGGCCATCAACATCAATGGTACTATGACCTAGTAGTTATTACATACCAAAAGTAGAAGGAAGGACAACCAGTGAACCGGCATCAGGATCATGGGCGTCAAGACTCATTGATGCATTTGGGAAGCAAAGGCTAGCCCGCCTTGCCTGATTACACAGAAGAGCTACTCTAGCTCAGATTGCTGAGAAACATAATGCTGGCCTTGATAGAAAGTTGTCAGAACACACAGTGAATCTAAGTTTGCTACTTAGACCGCTGACTGGTTAGAGTGCCTATGATGACCCTTGTCCACTGCCGAAAAGACCTTCAATAAGAATGCTAGTGTCAGAACTGGACCATAGAGCAATGGAAGAATGTTGCCTGGTTTGATGAATAACATTTTCTTTTAGATTGCTGGTGCACATGAGTCATTAACTGAAGAGAGATGGAAGCAGAATGGGAAAATGGCAGGCCTGTGGATGTACTGTTATAATCTGGACAATGTTCTGCTGGGAAATCTTGGTCCAGGCATTCAGGTGAATGTTACTTTGACATGTACCACCTACCTAGAAATTGTTGCAGACCATGTACACCCCTTCATGGTAATGGTGTCCCCTGATGGCAGTGGCCCCTATTAGCATGATAATGCACCCTGCCACACTGCAAAAAAATTTCAGGAATGGTTTGAGGGGAAGAAGATTTATAATGGTTTGAGGAACATGACCAAATGTTTAAGGTGTTGCCTTGGACTCCAAATCAACCCAATTTCAACCCTACTGAGCATCTGTGGGATGTGCTGGAACAACAAATCTGATCCATGGAGACCCCACATCGCAACTTGCAGGATCTAAATGATCTCCTGCTAATGTCTTGGTGCCAGATATCACAAGGCACAGGTCTTGTGAAGGCCATGCCTCAACGCATCATATTTGTTTTGGTAGCATGAATTTAGGCTGTTGTGATGTGGTTGATCAATGTGGATCCTTTGGAGACCAGATCTAGGTGACATATTTTTTATCCTATCTCGGTATTGGGTAAGATGTGAATGTTTGCTATATGGTTTATTTTAGGAAAATAGGAACAGAACAAGGATGGATATTATTATTATTATTATTTATAAAGTGCCAACAAATTCTGCAGCGTTTTACAATGGATGGACTAACAGACTAACAAGTATTTGTAACCAGAGTTGGACACACAGGAACTGAAAGGTGGAGGGACCTGCTCAATGAGCTTACCTTCTAGAGGGAGTGGAGTATAGCGACACAAAATGTAAGGGTAGGATAGAAAGTAGGTTGCTAGAATAGTATTTACTGAGGGCTTAGTGGTATATATATTTCTTTTATTTTAATTTTATTTTATTTATGGCAGTTGCAGAATCAAGGAGGAATCAAGGTATGGGGGAAACCTATTACCAGTTTAATTGATATGCAATGATTTTTTGAATGAGGGGAGACTGGGTGAAAGTCTAACAGAGAAGGGAAGCGAGTTACACAGGAACGGTGCAGCCCTCGAGAAGTCTTGAAGGAAAGCATCAGCGGGGGGAATATATATTACAATATTTAGGTTAGAAAATTGCCATATTTCATAGATTCTCCTAGATTTTTTATGGTTACAGAATCTGTAGATGTAAAATTATTCTGCATTCTTTGAAATAACATTTATTTGTCTGATTTATGTTTACTTAAATATTATGTGCTTTGTCCATATCACCTTTCTATCAGGCTCACATTCTAAAGTATATGACCATCTCTTTGTCTGCTGCTGACTATATCTTCCATGATGCTCAGCATCTTCTTGTTCCAGATGTTGGCCATTCTTCTCCTAACAGACATTTTCATGTTGCGAACACCGTTTATAACATAACAAGGAGCTACATATGTGTCTGAATTTGTGCTTCTGGAACCTTTGGACCAGACACGTTTATTTTTTTTGGCAAACTCTATACTAACACAGCAGGTCCCAAACACTTATCAGCTGTATTACTTTTATTTGAGAATAAAGACAATTTTCCTTTGTTTCATCTGGTTTAAGTATCTCAACATCACCGACATTGTCATCAATTTTAACCGAAATGCTATGACGGCTGCAATGCTGTTCTAGCAATACTTGCAGACGTATCACTGAGGATTTCCTATGTATAAATCAGAAATTAATCTTTATTTCATTGAATTTATTAAATATACAAAACAGATGATATTTCTGTATAAAATATGACTAGCAGTGGAGTACCTTGAAGACTGTTTCTTATTCTTATATTACAGGTTAACATGGGAACGTTTTTAATATTTTTTTTAAAAGACATTTACCTATAATTCATTGTATAGGAGAACTGTTAGAAACAAGTCCTTCCTATGTTTATCACACAATGAGGGTTACTGCGTTCTTCCCCTATAGATCAACATTGGAATCACAAAGGTTACCAAAAATTACCACTAATCAGTCTAGTCAATGATTAACAGCATATTAAACCTTGGTTTTATTTAATTCTTCTGCAAATTTAGTCTTTTACCTTACTGAGTCATTTAAAAGAATATTAAAAAAAACACTTGATATCAATTAAGTGGTTATGGTGCTTGGAGTTTCCTGGCAACTTATAATTTTCAAGTGTCAAATAATTTTTGGATGGTGTTAACACTAAAGAGGTGTCCCCCAAGAGCTGGTGTGGATCCCTCCCCTCTGCTGCGGACAAATATAAAAATATGTGTCTGAGTGGTAGTCTGAGATGATCTGAGATAATCAGTAGATGTCACTAGCCATTCGTAGTAAATAATGCCACAGAAATGTGTTCTCTGCCTGGTCAGGTGTCTGGGGAACTCCACTTCAGTGTGAAATGATATGAAAACATTTTAACACTTAAGGGAAGGAAGTGCCGGGGATTTATATGAAGTAGTTTTGGTGCCCAAAGTGTACCTTGAACCCCTTAAGGGCAGCTGGTGTTATTTGCTGTCCTTAAGGAGCCGGTTATAAATGTCGGTCGGCACATCGTTGTTACTTACCTGGTTCCCACCGACTATCCGTCTGCGTTTTTTTTTTGCATTTTTCACACATGATCGGCACTGACGAGATCATCATTGTCATACGTTTTATTGCTTTGAAACACTAATAGACTGCACATTCCCCATAAAGACCGGACATACCCCATTTTAAATACCTTGGGTTGTCTACTTTTGCAAATGGTATACCATGATTGGGCTCATTCTCATTCCTGGGCTACCACTTGGTCTCAAAGGCAACATAACCAGTCTGTTAAATTTCTATGTGAAAACACTAATAAATAGAACGTGCTATATTTGACCCTGTAACTTTCCAAAACTCCATAAAACCTGTACATGGGGTGGGCACTGTTGTACTTGTGAGACATCGCTGAATACAAATATGTGTATCTGATTGCAGTAAAAGCTAACAGTATCATGACATTCACAGTTAATATTCCATGCAGAACTTAATTTCTCACACATTTTTAGATTTTATGCATATTAAATTATGTTTGATATATGAATATTTGATGTGAAATGAAATCCCTGTTTCTCCTGAACAAAATGATATGTAATAAGTGTGTGTGCACTTAATATAAAAGCGGTAAATTATGGTTGAACAGACATATAGTCAAATTAAAGGTTTTGTTTACA